TTCTGGTCCGTCCGTTCCAGCCCCTTCCGTCTCGGTTTTTCGTCGTTTTCTCTCGTGCATTTGTCCTTCCCTGCGTGTGTGACCCTGTAGGCTCATTCGATATAGCAGTATAACCCGAAATCTCTATTTCGGATATACAAGTCATAGGTGGTCTCTAGCAAGACACTATGACTACCTATCTCGAATAGAGTTTGTTCGTGATCATACGAACGCCAGTGATGATTCCGGTTGATGATCCTTTTGTATCGTGATATCATATGTCGAACATAAGGCATGGACAAGCCACCTTATCTAATTCGACTGCTTTCTCGTTCATGGAGTTCGACTGTCTGAAATAGACGACGCTCGTCTATAGTGCGGCCACACATTTCTACAGTCTCGCTCACACGAGGGGCCCAGCGATATCTCTCTCTTTTACGAGTGGTACAAATCCCGTCTTGACTATCTACAATCCAGTACATGATTCGTTTCGTGCCTGATACACGCCTTTATAATCCTCCTGTTACGCAGGACGTTTGACGTCTTCAAAGCACGTAACTCCTCATGTTGGATTCTGTAGATATCTCAGGTCTTAGGATCCAATCATGGAACCGCCATATGAGATTCAAGTCATGACGCTAGTCCATGTGAGAATCTCATGCGGGTCAATCCAGTATTCCGTTCTCCAACGAATACCTATGATTGTGACCGTATCCAATACCTATGATTATCTCTATAATCACCAATCACACATCATACTAGTCTTATTATGTCATCATTCCCATAACGACACAAGACTAGGGAGTTTAGTATCATTCATAATGATACATGGATTTCATAACAGATCTAGTATGCAAGAACATGTAATGAATCAAATACTCTCATAAAACTATAGAAAGTATCAATACATCGAATGTATCTGAACAAAGCTCATAATCAGTACATCATAGAGCACTAAACCAACATGTGTGACGTTTGGCTAGGTTTAGATCTTTCCTTCCGCTGCGTGAAACCTAGAATCCAAACCCTAGAACGATGAGATCGCATGCTAAGAACCCGAAGGGAACCCAACATTGACAAGGTAGCATGCCGTACTTACCGCTTCTGCCCAGAAACGTTTCGTAACGTTTCTTGCATGTAACATTGTTCTCGCCATTTCTTGCAGTGTCCTATTCTTCTTTTCAACCACTCCATTTTGTTGAGGAGTTTTAGGTGCAGAATACTCGTGGACAATCCCATATTTGTTGCAGAATTCTGCAAACTGTTCATTTTCAAATTCACGCCCATGATCACTCTGAATTCTCTGAACACTTCCTTTTCCATTTCGGAGTTGCAGCCATAAGTGTTCGAATACACCCAATGTTTCTGACTTCTCTCTTAAGAACCTGACCCAAGTAAAACGTGAGAAATCATCAACACATACAAACACATACCTCTTTCCTCCAAGACTCTCCGTCTGCATTGGTCCCATCAAATCCATGTGCATCAACTCAAGGATTTCATATGTGTGTATCCCATCGATCGTTTTATGATTCACCTTGATTTGCTTTCCAAGTTGACATGCTTTACACACCAGTGTTACCTGCGATGATAACTCAGGTAATCCTCGTACAACATTTGACCTTGACAGCTTTACCAACGACATTGTGTTAATGTGTCCCAATCGTTGATGCCATAACTCTAGTTCAGAGTCAGCTGCTGTGAAGCATTTCTCACTTTGAGTGCTTTCGTCAGGATTTACCCAAGTGTAGCAATTACTTGGAGTTCTTTTTCCTGTCAACACACAATCTCCAAGAAAATTTGTAACAACACAAGCATCTTTAGTGAAATTTACCTGAAATCCAAAGTCACACAATTGACTGATGCTTATGAGATTTGCCTTGAGTCCTTGGACAGCATTGACATCTGTAAGTTTGGGCAGTCCTGATGCATCCAGATTTCCTTTGTCCAAGATCTTTCCTTTTCTTCCATCTCCAAATGTCACGTTTCCTCCTTTGAGATTTTCTTCGAATGTAGACAGCATACTGACATCTCCTGTCATATGATGTGAGCATCCACTGTCAAAATACCACCATTGTTCGCTTGACTTCAGTTCAGAAGTGTATGCCACATTACACCTCGAGACATCTTTTCTTCTCCAGACTTGCCTCCATCTCAGAGTGGGTGGTACCTAATAATTTTTCCAGTAGTAGCAATTCATTCTGATGTGACCTCTTGTTCCACAGTAGAAACAAGTGCGATGCTCACGATAGTTCTGCGGTCTTTTCTTGGATATAGATCAATCTTGATCTTTGGAGTCTGTTGTACTTGTGAGATCACTTCATCTCCAAGTTTTCCTCCTGAAACAAAGTTTCCTACTTTGTTTTTACTCCCTCCGGTATATCCAAGTCCAGTATGTCCAGAATCTGTTCGCCCGATTGTCAGTAAGTGATCCAATTTTGCAGTGCCATTTCCAAGCATTCTCACATTCTTCATGGAACCTTCCAACTGATTCTGTAATAAGATAATCTTCTCCTCTTTCTCCTTTAGTTGCTTCTTCAGATTATCAACTTCTGATACTTTCGTATCCAGCTGCTTCTTGATTTCCAAGATCTTTGCCTCTTTCTTCTTCTGTTCTTTGATCAATCTTGTATTTGTTGGTTGTAATGCTCTACGATGATCCGTGATATGACATTTTGACTATGTATTGATTCATTGGTTTATGAATGCATTATTTTTCCCGTTATATGATTAGCATGTTTGTTATATTACGAAAAATATCCTTGAATCGTTGCAGATGATTCTAAACTCCCTGGTCAATTATCATTGTGGGAACAATGATGAATTAAGACCAGCATGATGTGTGATAGATGATTATGATCATATGCATTAGACGCAAATCACAATCATGGGTTCTCGTTTGGAACGAGTTACTGGATGACCCGCATGAGATTGTGCATTAGATGCGAATCACAATCATGGGTTCTCGTTTGGAACGAGTTACTGGATGACCCGCATGAGATTGTCACATGGACATGAGTCATGACTTGAATCTCATACAGCGGTTCGTTCTTGGATCCTCAGACCTGAGATGTCTAGAGTATCTGATATGAGGAGTGACGTGTCTTGACTGCGTCAAACGTCGTCTTTGCTCGGATGATCATAACGGCGTTGCTCAGATATGTTCACGAATCATATGCAGATAGTAGACATGCAATACGGGATTTGTCACCTCCTACGCAGGAGAGATGTCGTTGGGCCCCTCGTGGAAATCGGACTGTGAAAATGCGTAGCCACACTATAGATGAATGTACATCTATTTAATCGTCGGTTTGCCTAGACGAGTAAGCGGTTGAACTTGAAGGGTGGCTCATACCATGCCCTTGTTCAACATACGACATCGTGAGACAAAGGATCAGAACTCGAACTATGACTGGCTTTGTTAGATCACCTCTAACTCTATTCTAGGTGGGTGGTCATGGCGTCTTGCTAGAGGCTTACCATGACTTGTGGTTTCGGAAAGAGTTTCCGAAGTCACTACCACTTCGAATGGGCCTACAGGATCAGACACCATTAGGGATGGATCACACGTGAAGAAAACGACGCGAGAAAGAAACCACGGAACGAGCTGGAAGGGTTCCAGACGACCAGACCGTCTGGTCCAGGCCTGGACCGGACGGTCCAGCCATGTTAGTCCGTCCGTTCCGCTGAGCAATGGATCGACTGTTCCGTAATCGCCAGACCGTCCGTTCTGCGTAGGATTACGGACCGTCCATTCCGCGTAGAAGGTCAGACCGTCCGTTCCATACCTAGACCGGACGGTCCGACTTACGGGACAGTTTCCTTTTTCTCACGTTTTAGGGTTTTGGGCAATTCTAATTAAGTGTGGGAGCCGCCACAAACCCTAGAGAATCACTCTCAGACGTCCTAGACACTTCCTAGAGCTTTGGAGAAGCTTTCTCTTGAGTTCTAAACATCGGAATATCGATTCCAAGTCTAGGACATCGTTTTCTCTTCACAAATCCTAGCAAATACGTTCCAAGCTGTTGGAATTCATCCCGCCGGTGTGGATACGTGTAGAGGAGTTGTGCTTTCAACTCTTGGTGATTAAAACAGGCCCTGGATCGATCGATACTTCCAGATCTTGAAAGAACGAGGTAAGTATTTGAATCCCACGATGATATACACGATTGTTCGGGTTATTGCACAATTGGTTTTGTGTGACGTTTGGCTAGGTTTAGATCTTTTCTTCCGCTGCATGAAACCTAGAATCCAAACCCTAGATCGATGAGATCACATGCTAGGAACCCGAAGGGAACCCAACAGTATTGATGTCGTACAACCTTGACATATCCTTGTACAGATCTTCTTCGGATATCTCTTCTTCAGTCTCTTCGATTATTCCAATGAATGCAACAAAATTTGACATCTCTTCTCCACTTTCTTCATCATAATCGGTATCAATCTCTTCATGAGTGATCAGAGATTTACCTCTTGTTTTTCTAATTGCACATTCGTTCTTCGTGTGTCCATATCCTTTGCACTCATAACATTGAAGATCCTTCAGATTTTTCAACATTGCCTCCCTCTTGGTAATGCTAGGGCATTCAGCCTTCCAGTGACCTGCTCCCTGGCATTCCAGACATTTTCCAGAATTTCTCGACTCTGCTTTGCCAGTGATACTTGGCTTTTTTTTTAAAAAAACCGGTTGAATGTTTTCACAATCATCGCCGTCTTCCTCCAATGACACTTGGCTGGGAGCCTCAGATGATTCTGGAACATGAAGTGCCAACCCCTTGTTTGGAATCCCTCCTTTTGGCTTTTCATATAGTTCCAGTTCTAACTCGTGAGCAACAAAAGCCCCAACTGTCTCTTTGAAGCTGATAGTATCCACATTGTTTACCATAGTAAAAGCAGATTTATGAGACATAAACTTTTTAGGTAAGCTTACCAGGAGTTTTGCCACGAGTTGTTTATCTCGATAGGTCTTTCCAAGGACCCCTGCTTCGTTTGCTAGTGCATTCAGCCTGCCACAGAATTCCTTGACACTCTCGTTTTCTCCCATTTGAAGCATATTGAACTGATGCTTGATTAGATCTCTCCTTGTGCGCTTGACACTTGATGTTCCTTCATGAATCAATTCAAGCGCATCCCAGGCTTCTTTTGCTGACTTGCACCCTTGAATTTGCTTAAACTCGTCCTTATCAACTATATTGAAAATGATGGTTATAGCTTTTGAGTTCAGTGCTGATGCTCGCTTTTCTGAAGGTGTCCACTCAGATCTGGGTTTCAGAACCTCTTTTCCATCCTTCACATCGATTGGGGCACTCCAACCTTCTTCTACTGAACTCCAAGCATCTTCATCAATCCCTTTGATGAGATTCATAGTTTTCACTTTCCAAAAACTATAATTTTCGGAATCGAGAATTGTGGATCTTCCCAGAGATTGAAACTCTTTGAGTGAGTCCATATTGACTCTTCAACACGTACACTGATATGAGAGGACCTTTCGCCTACGATCAGTGACCATCTTTGATACCAATTGAAAAAGTTGAACACTCAAAGAGTAATGCGGAAAACTAATCAGTTCTATTCACTTGAGAAAGATAGTCAAGTACAACTCAATTTTTGTTGTAAGAATCGTACTTACTACACACACCCGAAACTCCCCCTGAGTTTCTTCCCCTCTCACAATGAATTCTACTGATCAAACCTCACAACATAAATCACTCACCAGAGAAAAGAGATTTACCCAATCGGTCTCCCTCTCAGACTCGCACTCACCAAAGAATGAGAACACACTCACTGAACGAAATAGACTAAGAAATTATGCTCATGCTCTCCGTAGAGCTGATATGCACTTGACCCTCTATTTAAACTCTTCTGGTTCGTCCTTAGATCTTCACGAAGTGATTGGATCGACTTCTTCTTGATTCTTGCTGATTTCGAGTCTATCTTCAGGATCTTGCCTTATCTCTTGTTATTGACTCTATCTCTTCAGCCTTTAACTCTATCTCTTCAGTCTTTGACTTTATCTCTTCGGTCTTTGACTCTATCTGAATCTCGTCAATTGTACCTCAGATTTGCTCGAGTGCAATCTTCGTCGGATTCTTCTCCTAAAATCTCTCAGGTTGTTGAACCTGCAACAACCTTTTAACAACCAAAACAACACAGTTATATAAAACAATTTCGCGCAATGCATGGAAATGATTAAATGGAAGAGAGATACATGAGACACGAGAGTAACGCAGCATATGGCTCTGTCAGCATCCAATACGTAATGTTGAATAAATATATAATCATATATTTATCATCATCTGATCTGTTTTTAATTCGATTTCGTCTTCTTTGTCCCGTAATTATGTATTAGGTCCACGTTTTCGGTGAACGGAATTGTCAAAGATCGATCAATTATATATTTCAGTGTGAACTGTCCTTCACAATTTTTTTTTATTAGAAAACCATGAAGGCTATTGTTATATCTTAACATTTAATTTATAATTTATTGTGAACGTTTTTTAGAAGAAAAAAAAATGTTTTCTGGATCTCTCTTACATGAAGAGGAGATTGAGAAACCAGAAAAATATTGTATTATTCCTGCATACGTTTCTATTATTCCTGTGACACCCGTAACCCGTGTACAGTATACGGGCTGTGCCACATGGACGATATTAAGTAAAATAACAATTTAATAAGTGGCGGAAGCGAAAATTCCGAAATCCAAAAAAAAAACATTTTTAATTAAAATTAGAGTAGCAGCGGGAAATACAAAGCGATTAGTATCGCAAAAGTCGCATGTCCGAATATTCATAATACAACCGTACAAAAGTGAAACGACAAGTTCTTTGATTCAGAATACAAATCTCGTACATGATGCTGCTTCTCTCGGTTCGTCGTCTGCTGAGGCGCTAGGCGTAATCCTCGTGATCTGAAAAATGTAAACCACGACGCATGTCCGAATATTCATAATACAACCGTACAAAAGTGAAACGACAAGTTCTTTGATTCAGAATACAAATCTCGTACATGATGCTGCTTCTCTCGGTTCGTCGTCTGCTGAGGCGCTAGGCGTAATCCTCGTGATCTGAAAAATGTAAACCACGAGGGCTAAGCACAACTGCTTAGTGAGTAGCCCGGGTGGAACCCGGGAATCCCGTTCCCAATGAGGACGGTACAGTCGACATTCCCAAATACACATGCAATAAGTATACCAATACAATAACCACAACAATAGCAAACACAAACACGCCCGTATGGAATCCACCATAAGGCTTAGCCATATACCCTGGTCAAATCCATGACCAGGAGCGAATCCACGCCCGTCACCCGCGTGACGTTGGCCATCGCATCACATGCGATCGTGCGCGTCTCCTGCGCCCGTCACTCTCGTGACTACCGATGTCGAGTCCACGACACAACGGAAATACAATCATATCCCTGTGGAGTCCACCACAAGGTCCAGCCATATACCCTAGTCAAATCCATGACTAGGGGCAAGTCCACGCCCGTCAAGTCCATGACGTTGGCCGTCGTGTCGCACACGACAAAACGCGTCTCAGACGCCCGTCAAGTCCATGACGGCGATGGTTGAGTCCACAACCATCCACAAACACAATCACGCTTGGCTCGTACGCACGAGCAAGCTACACACATGGCACACAATGTGCAATATCCCCATGATACAACCACGCGTATCACGGTATTCGGTCCCTACCAGAATACCGTTCAACGCCATACAGCTCTACCCGCAAGCAATCATACAACGACCCCTCGTAGTTTGATATCACACATCTCGCCACGTCACGTAACGTTTTAACGAAACTTATTCTGATTGATCCCAATCGCGAAGCCTGCCCTCCGTTGATAGTTTGGTTCGCCCATAGTCACGTCTGGTCGGGCCCGGGTCAACCCCGAGGGTCGTTTTCTCCTTCCCGGCCGAAGCCCTTTTTTTCTAAGTTTCCTGAGTCTGGTCCGGCGGACCGAATTCTGGTCAGCCGGACCAGGTCTCCTTCTTCCCCTGGTCCGCTCCGTCATTTTTGGTCCGTCGGCCCGAGAGAGAACACGTCGGGTCCGGCGGACCAGGATTGGTCAGCCCCGGACCAGACCGATCCTTCTCTCTCGGTCCGCTCCCTTGGTCCGACGGTGTGCGGCTCTTTTCAACATGTCTGGTCCGGCGGACCAGGCGTGTTCTTCTCTCGGTCCGCTTTCTTTCCTGGCTCGGCGGACCGTGGGACTTCGGAGCACGTCTGGTCCGGCGGACCAGGGTTGGTCAGCCCCGGACCAGGCGTGTTTTTTTTCTCCTGTCCGCCTCCTTTCTTCTGGTCCGTCGGTGCGCGTCGCCTCGGAACACGTCTGGTCCGGCGGACCAGGGTCTGGTCCGGCGGACCAGGCGTGTTTTTCCCTCGGTCCGCCTTCTCTTCCCGTGGCTCGGCAGACTGCACGTGTTTTCTAGTCCTGGTCCGGAGCTGACCACGTATGGTCCGGCGGACCGGGACTGGAACCTTCTTCTTCCTCGCGATTTCCTCCGATTTCAACTCGATTTTTCTCACCCGAATCGATTCGGGGTGGCTTCTAAATACCAATTAAACATAGTTTGACAACCCTAAACATGTTCTATAGCTCAAACACGCAAGGAAAATCTCGAATGCACCATTAAACATTGAACACGAGATTGCACAAATCCAACCCAAACCACTCACATGTTCTTGAGTTGGTCCGAGCTTTGGTGAGTTCCTCGTGGCTCCACACGGCGTGAGAAGCTCCGGGACACGTCTGGGCACGTCCCTCTTGGTCTCACCGAGCTCCCCTTGCCTCGGTTCGTCTCCTTTCTCCCTCTTTCTCCCAGTTTCTCTTCTTCCTCCCCTTCCACCCGAAATGGTTTTGGGAGAGGTTTCTAGGGTCGATTTCGTGTTGGAGAGGGAGTGAATGGGTTAAATCTTGGGCTCACGGACCAACCTGCAACTTCCTCGAGGCGTGGGAGGCGGCAGGACGACAGCCAGCTCGCGGACTCAGGCGGAACTCGCGTCCCAAGACCGCAAGATGGCGAGCTGGAAAATCTGTCGAGTCCCGGTTCGGCGGACCAGGAGTTGGTCCGGCGGACCGGGCTCAGTTTATTTTTTTTCTGAATTCTTCTCCCAGTCCGCCTGTCCAGTCCGACTCCGGCTGAGTCGTTGGTCCGCCCCGGACCAGGCTCTCTTTTTTTTCCTTTTTTTTTTGTTTCTTCGTTCCTTCTCGATCCTCCCCGCGCGTGACGATCCTCGTGCCTCTCCTCGGCATTGCGCTATTTATTTTTGGTGATTTAGTGACATCCCTATTTAATTATTTATTTTTAAATAATTAAATATTCGATTCGAGTTTCGGGGTATTACAATTCCTGCATACGTGTCTGTACAAATGTTCGATCCCGTATGGGGGAGGGGTAATTTCTGGGCCAAAGGGCCATATACAAAAGTTGTTTGCGTATCGGAGATTTAACTAGTCAGTGCGTCCGAAAGATAGCAGTTAAGATTCTCCGTTATAAAAGAAAAAAAATCTATACATAATTAATTCTATGGTAAGTGCATGTGGTAGGAATGGAAATTAAGGTTCCATTCTCACGTACATGATTTTATGTTCATGGAGGTCAACATACACTTCACCCAATCACTCCTAATTCTCCTCAATGTAATCTCGTGTGATATGCTCCACTATGTATTGTCCTTTAGTTTCTTGCAGCTGAAGTTACCATGGATAGTTGTGGGTTCAGTAATGTCTCGGTCATGGGTGAGCTGAATTTGGGTCTTCAAGTCCGGTTTTTTTTATGTTAATGGCAAATCTTATAAATATAATTGTTTTTACAATAGTGATAACCCGTGGGTTAGCATCCCTAAGTACAAATAGTAGAATTCACAATACCAAATCCAAATAACTAAAGAGTTGCACTAAGACTGTCATATACGTCTAAAAACCATAACCAGTCAAATTCTAAAGTTTGCCTTTCCCCTTCCGAGCTTTCCCGACTAATGTGAAGTCTAAAGGATCAATGGGGAATCTGTTGACACGAGAACGAAGGGTATACTGGATTTTTTGGGCTGTAGAAGCAGTGGAAGATCGAGCGTGTAGAATTCGTTGTGCTTCTACCACTAGTTATTCATTAGAGTCAAAGCAGAATTTTTGGCAATGATAGGTAGCGGGTGTAGTAGAAAGTAGTTTAGTGAATGTATGTGAAGATGGTTAGTTATCTTGGACAAGTTGTTCTTCCGAATCAAACATGCATTCCCCTTGCAGAGAAGCATGAGATGATGTTGATGGAGAGTCGAATTGTCCAGGACTTCCAAGATTGGAAGTTGTTGGCAAACTGGGTGGAATAGGTAATAGAGGTTGGGATGTTTCTGGCGTAATATGAAT